ATTGGTGTTTATCTTTTACATGTATCTCCACTTGGATTTCCCTTGTTTTACTTAGTTGCCTCCGATTCTACTCCTTTTTTCAGATGGTCAAGCTATTGCAATAAAGCTTGGCAGTCAAATCGATCGCGTGGTCGCCAACATCACTCGGAACGTAAGCTTGATTAATGGGATGAATGAGAACGATGAGATTTCCTTTGATGATGTAAAGGATCCAAACGGGGAAGTATATCATGGTATTGTCGAACCCAATATTGAAACAGGAGTACCATCAAGAGTAAAAAATAGAGCGGTTGATCTTTTGTGTCTTAAAGATAGGTGTGAAGAGGAACAAAATATGGTGAAAAAAGAGATGTCTACATTTATTTCATTTCTCACCAAACAGATTGAAATAATTCAATCATTTATCGATCGTGAAGTTTCCAGCGACGACGAACTTGGTTTGCACTCCCTCGCCATTGAAAAGATGATGTTTTATCAGCGCCAAGTAAACGTAGTGAATGAGTTATGGTCCGGATTTAAAGTTTTACCTTTCACTACAGAGGACAGTGAGATGGTGGAGCCCATATCAGCCTTATATAAAGAAGATCTAGAATTTTATGATGATGTCGAATATATGTAAATACATACTATACTTGGAGGGTGAGCTTACTAAACATGTTGTGAAGATGTAACATTCTTATACAATGTGGGTAAAACTGACCCCTGTCTTTAGAATTAAAAAACGTAAATAAAGTCGTTATCAAATTTCATTTGGAGGGTGAGCTTACTAATGTTGTGAAGATGTAACATTCTTATACAATGTGGGTAAAACTGACCCCTGTCTTTAGAATTAAAAAACATAAATAAAGTCGGTGTCAAATTTCATTTGGAGGGTGAGCTTACTAAACATGTTGTGAAGATGTAACATTCTTATACAATGTGGGTAAAACTGACCCCTGTCTTTAGAATTAAAAAACATAAATAAAGTCGGTGTCAAATTTCATTTGGAGGGTGAGCTTACTAAACATGTTGTGAAGATGTAACATTCTTATACAATGTGGGTAAAACTGACCCCTATCTTAAAGTTAAAAAACGTAAATAAAGTCGGTATCAAATTTCATTTGGAGGGTGAGCTTACTAAACATGTTGTGAAGATGTAACATTCTTATACAATGTGGGTAAAACTGACCCCTATCTTAAAAGTTAAAAAACGTAAATAAAGTCGGTATCAAATTTCATTTGGAGGGTGAGCTTACTAAACATGTTGTGAAGATGTAACATTCTTATACAATGTGGGTAAAACTGACCCCTGTCTTAAAAGTTAAAAAACGTAAATAAAGTCGGTGTCAAATTTCATTTGGAGGGTGAGCTTACTAAACATCTTGTGAAGATGTAACATTCTTATACAATGTGGGTAAAACTGACCCCTGTCTTTAGAATTAAAAAACATAAATAAAGTCGGTGTCAAATTTCATTTGGAGGGTGAGCTTACTAAACATGTTGTGAAGATGTAACATTCTTATACAATGTGGGTAAAACGACCCCTATCTTAAAGTTAAAAAACGTAAATAAAGTCGGTATCAAATTTCATTTGGAGGGTGAGCTTACTAAAGATGTTGTGAAGATGTAACATTCTTATACAATGTGGGTAAAACTGACCCCTATCTTAAAAGTTAAAAAACGTAAATAAAGTCGGTATCAAATTTCATTTGGAGGGTGAGCTTACTAAACATGTTGTGAAGATGTAACATTCTTATACAATGTGGGTAAAACTGACCCCTGTCTTTAGAATTAAAAAACATAAATAAAGTCGGTGTCAAATTTCATTTGGAGGGTGAGCTTACTAAACATGTTGTGAAGATGTAACATTCTTATACAATGTGGGTAAAACGACCCCTATCTTAAAAGTTAAAAAACGTAAATAAAGTCGGTATCAAATTTCATTTGGAGGGTGAGCTTACTAAACATGTTGTGAAGATGTAACATTCTTATACAATGTGGGTAAAACTGACCCCTATCTTAAAAGTTAAAAAACGTAAATAAAGTCGGTATCAAATTTCATTTGGAGGGTGAGCTTACTAAACATCTTGTGAAGATGTAACATTCTTATACAATGTGGGTAAAACTGACCCCTGTCTTTAGAATTAAAAAACATAAATAAAGTCGGTGTCAAATTTCATTTGGAGGGTGAGCTTACTAAACATGTTGTGAAGATGTAACATTCTTATACAATGTGGGTAAACGACCCCTATCTTAAAAGTTAAAAAACGTAAATAAAGTCGGTATCAAATTTCATTTGGAGGGTGAGCTTACTAAAGATGTTGTGAAGATGTAACATTCTTATACAATGTGGGTAAAACTGACCCCTATCTTAAAAGTTAAAAAACGTAAATAAAGTCGGTATCAAATTTCATTTGGAGGGTGAGCTTACTAAACATGTTGTGAAGATGTAACATTCTTATACAATGTGGGTAAAACTGACCCCTGTCTTTAGAATTAAAAAACGTAAATAAAGTCGTTATCAAATTTCATTTGGAGGGTGAGCTTACTAGGGATGTTGTGAAGATGTAACATTCTTATACAATGTGGGTAAAACTGACCCCTGTCTTTAGAATTAAAAAACATAAATAAAGTCGGTGTCAAATTTCATTTGGAGGGTGAGCTTACTAAACATGTTGTGAAGATGTAACATTCTTATACAATGTGGGTAAAACTGACCCCTGTCTTAAAAGTTAAAAAACGTAAATAAAGTCGGTGTCAAATTTCATTTGAAGAATCGTAATTAAAATGTTACGAAGTGAAATTTAAGACAGTAATATGAAATATTTGGGAAATAAGAAACCTTTTTTTAAACCTGATATGCGCGTATAGTATTACTTTGCTCTTGTGTTGCGAAAACAAAGCCAAAAGGCAAAGATTCCCGAGGTGTATTTTCGTTATTTGTCATTTATAGCCATTCTATAGCCATTCTATAGTCATTTTTGGCCATTCTAGAGCGTCTGTTCTAGATCACTCAGTTATTCAGGGATAGTTTGTTATCAGTTCGAGACATTAATTTCAAGGTAAACGAGACTGTAATTTCTATAAGCATATAGTTCTACATTTTATATCAATATTCACACTCCGTATTACTTATTACGCGAATTTGTTTGTTTGTAGAGCCCTATGATGGGAAGAAATAAGTTCAGAAGAAATATGACATGTTTTCCCTCGAAGGTCAGATCAGATTTGCCAATGAGAATTGCAATTTTGGTATTCATATTGGTACAAATTTTCACGACGTGGTAGTTGCCATAGCTTGTTCCTTTTTTTTCTTTGCGCAAGAGTGACACATGCTGCAGCTATGACGCTATAACTTATATGGGGCGATTGCTATTTCATTATACAAACAAACAAAAATGGCTCGTTTCCCTAGAATTGCGCTACGAAATATAAAAATCGTGAATGAAATCTTTGAAGCACAGCATGATACTATAGTTAAAGATAACTACCTACTTAGTACAGTTGGTGATACATTGATGAAAGAAGGGGCGTGGAAGATGTATTGAGACTAGTGTATATCACAGTATATACAGGGCTAATTTTAACAAATTTTAACTTTAAATAGTAAAGGTCTTTGAATGAAGGCCCTTTCCTTCCTACCTACTGAAAGTATGAAATATTTCTACGCTCTTACCACTCTTGATATCTTCATATTTTTAACCTAAATAATTCCGAATAATTTTATAGAGAAAAGACGGTGTCTGTCGAATTTCAACCTGCCCCCAGTATGGAAATTACATGAAACGCTTGGATAATCATCTGTCAGTATTCCATAAGGGTACAACTAGGGCAATGAACGACAGCCTACCTCACCCGGGCGCTTACAAAAGTGCTTATTTGGAAAATCTTCGACAAGGAAAAACAAATTATGTCATTGCTAATCTTGGAAAAAGTAAAGACCTCAGTGACGGAAAAATTTCAGCCAGAAAATCAAGTGTTCCCAGCACATCAAGTGTCGCCAGCACATCAAGTTCCTCTACACATAAAAAATGTATTGTAAAAAGGCGTTTGTTTTCCAAACAAAGTACGTCTACAAAGCAAAAGTTTGTTAAAAGAGGCAATTTTGAATTAAAATTCAGAAGTAAAATTGCAACAGCATCTGAGGACCAAATGAATCAGAATTCTTCCGACCAATTGGTTTCGCTTGAATCATCGAATAATTTCATTGGGGAATGGTGTGCTCATACTCTAAGATTTTTGATCCACAATACTTACTCGTTCAAACTTGGATCTTTACTATCTTTTATAAGAGAAAATCAATCATTGGAAGACTATCACAAAACCAAACTATGCAAAGATGTGTTTGGCGAAGTGCCATTAGATTTTCTAAAGGCCCTAAATTACCACAGAAGGCCGTTAAACAGCTACTTTCAGCGATTAAGATGTCTTCCAAACATAAGTCAGAAGACTGTGGATCTATGCATGGCTTGTGAGACAACAGGTGGCAAATGTGTGTGTCCAGAACTAGACACAGCCTTTTTTATTTTCTGCAGAAAACCCTGTTTAAAGGAAAGGTTTGACTGCAAGAAATGCAGTAACTGGGCGATTCATACACACGTGTGCTTTGATTTTTTCTCATGCACCGTGTGTGACAAATATTACTCTAGCACAAAACCGAACTGTGGAAAATATTATGTTTAAATATATCGATATAAATTTGTAACCTGAAACCTTCCGATATTTAATTTTTGCATTTATATATATATATATATATTGCATTTAATAAATACTGCATTTTTATTCGGTATTTATCGTGATAAATGACTGAAGCACATGATATATATTGAGAAAATATTTAAACTGGAGTCTATGAAGTACATGAGTCTACGATGAACCAACCAGAGCCCGAGCTAGAAGCCTTATTGGGGGAGGGGAGTGCATGTGTATTCATATCATTCGTTTTATGCCAAACTGATCATGAATACTATACATGATTATATCTCCCCCCCCCAATTAAGCAATCTAGCAACGGCCCTGGTACCAATTGACTATAATAATTAACCCTGTTACCCTGATAAAAAATTTGACATCATTTCCATTCGCAAGTATTTTCATTACGTAGTTTACCTAAAACTCCTTCGATCGCAAATCTAAATTGTTTTGGTAACTTAAAATTTTCAGTAGCTGCTTCCTCTATTGAAAAATATAATGGTCCATGAGCAGAACGAATAAGGTTCTTACCCGTAATAATGTCACTATGCAAGAATGTGTATGTGTCATCATCTACAAGATCCAACCACTGACCCCGTATTTTGGCCGAGGATACACACTTGGCTATACGCAATGGCTTATCATTCGTACGAAACAGCCAAAATCTTTCTTCTGCAGTCGTGTGTACAGGTAAAACTATGTTTTCAACCTGTCTTGAATGTTGCATGTTATGTCCAACTGCTAACCATGCATCAGGTGAAAAATAACCTTCACACAAACCATATAAGTTTGCCTTCTCTTCATCACTTAAATGCAAATCAACCACCTCAATCTCCTCCTCCATAATTCGCTTCTCAGAATCGGCCAGCACCCTTTGCGCAGCATCTTCTCCAGCAATTTTTACTAGTAAAGGTTTCACAACATTTACAGTTCCTTGTAAATCACCATTGTTACCAGAAACTGCAGTCGGGTAAACATTCAATGGTTCGTTGAGAGTTGGATCTTCAATGATGAATTTTATTTTGTCTGCAGCCTCCATGATTTTCTTTAGTTGCAAGGAACCATAGTTATATGGTTTCTTAAAAGAAATATCTTCAGGGAGACCAACAACTCTGAATCCACATTTCGAGTACGGCACCCGGCAGCTCTTTCCAACCGCTTCACCTTAAATTTAGAAATAATTCTGATGTTGTAAACATTTACAATATACTTTTCGGTTATCCAGTCTAGCTCTTATGAATCATCTCATGAATCATTATAGTATATTGCTAATAATTGCGCAAACCACTGATCATCGGGTGAAGTATGTATTCATCAAAGTTTAGTTGTACTGTAATAGATTCTTCAGGGCTGGTTGTATAAGAAGATGGTTAACCTTTTAACCTACGATTTACCTACGCAACCTATACAACCAGCTGTGATTGTTAAGTTACAGTATTTGCAGCCCTTTAAAGTTTAAAAACACATTACCGGTAGCAGTTGTGAACAATTTTCTGACAAAAAAGACTTACTGTATTTCTTGTTAAAGAGATCTTGCACATCATTTCTGCGGTACTTCTTAACAGAACTACCTAAGGTCATGTCATTGGTACTTTAGTTATAAACATAGAATCCCATTGGAATTGCTCTAAAATTGTCACAAGTCTTAAATAAAATTATTTTACCAGTGACCTGTAGAGAACTTACCAAAATACTCACGAAATTTTATGCCAATATCGGGGTTGCAAGATAAAAAATGATTTCCTTCATTGGATCCCAGTTGGAAAACAGTGCCTTCATTGTTGATCATCAAAGATGAATAGTCTGGCAGCCCAAATCCTCCAGTATCCTGATCTATGGATAAACACACATCTAATGATCACATAATGATTGCCCTGTTTAATTTTTGTTCAACTTACAGTTTAACTATTGCACTGGCCAGTTTGGTAGTGTGGGGCTTTTTTGTCATTAATCATGCTATTTATCATACCATTATGATGTATATGTTTCTTTATCTATTTTGGCACTAAACTAAGGGAAATACTAACTAACTCTGTATGGTGCCTTAGAAAGCCAGGTGCTCTTTATTTCTTGTCCTAACCCTACATTAACCTGTGTTATTCTCATTTAGCCAGATCCACAGTAGCCAAGCTTACCTGTTACTAACATAGAAAATTCTAGAAACCAAGATAAATGATAGCAAAAGAATGGGATGGGAGACCTAGTGCTCAACTATTCTAATTTAACAATATTACAAGTGCCAAACCAAATAAAGGTTTCCGCTACCTCCTCGACTAGCTTTTTGCAGTGTCTTTCAATAAGCTTTCTCTTTTGCTCATCATCCAACACTTTTATATCAACTGAGCTAAGGGCTTTAGCAGTTTCACCATATTTCTTTTCATCCTCATTTGCAAATTCCACCTTTCTGCAGCTAGTTTATTCCTTTCAGTATTAGACAAGCCTTTACACTCATCTAAATTAACACAGATATAAAAACTATTTTAGATACACAAAAAACCACATCAACCAACATTTTGAAGAACTGTTTTTTCATCTCATCCAATAAGAGAAAACTCAATATGATGACTATACATTTTGCCTAATATTTAGTTCAATTGTTTTTTCATTTTAGAAATTTGAGCAGCATATTAGCTACTAATAACATTTAGACATTCAACCCTTGTTTTGTAATCTTTCCAACTCAATTACCATTTCAATGTATTGAATATAATTATGAAGACTTCCTCTCTATTGAAGCCTTATTATAGGGCAAGTGAACACACATGACAGGGCAAAAATTAGGTTTAGGAGATACCATACCAAGATATAATTGATTGTTAATGCCTGACCTAGCTCCATGCAATAAATATTGTTAATTTCAAAAATTAAATAAAGACAATATTCACTAACCAGACTTGAAAAACTCACTGCAAAATACATTGTAATGATGTGGTCCTTTTATGTGTTTGGCCCTCTTCAATGTAGATGTTTCATCAAAGGTTTGGCTGGTTGAAGGTTGTTTCCTTTTTTGGTTACCAATCCATTTCTAGGAATAAGCAATATACAGTGTAGTCACATATAAAATTGTAACCAATATATAATATATAGTATACAGTTATTAGAAGGAAGCACAACAACACAATTTGAAGTACAAGCATAAAATCTTATTTATAGTTATTAAGCAATTCAACAACAACTTTTTAAAATAAACACTGTTTATGCATGTACACTTTAATATATCTATTGAAAAAGACACTCTGGTTAATTCTTTAAGATGCACAGATAATCTGGGTTTACCTTAACTTGCGTTTTCGTCAGGCCCGTTTCTTGCGTAGCTTGATCGACTTTGCTGTCATATAAATGACCTGTTCCAACCATTCCATTACCATATAATCGCTCCAGAACGATTCTTTGAGCATCCGTAATACGATTTCTTTGACGTTTTGACGGTTCCATATTTTAAATGTCGAAATATATCAAAATAATACTAAAATTCTATCGAAGTGCAGTCGCGACGAGTGAACAAATTAGCATACACACAAATGCGCATAGAAAAGCACCGTTTATTGGATCAAACGTATTTGACCTTTGCCCTTTGCGCATAGCTGGCCATTGAATGATTTAGATGATCATTTGGCCTGGGTTAGACCTGCACTTCTCAATTGAGAAATCTTGGGTTACAGCCGCTGAGAATATGTGACACGGGTGCACGATCGGTTAAAGGACGAGGTGTTATTTGATAAAGAAAACGTTATACGTTGGTGCATGGACGAGGGATTGATTGCACATGAAAGAGTGTGTGGCCATTGCAACAATAGCATGAGACTAGTGAAATGCGCCGACAGATCTGACGGATACAAGTGGGAATGTCGAAAACAAGTTGCTGGTAAGAGACATAAGGTTGAATTATCAATCCGAAAAGGTAGTTGGTTTGAGAAGAGCAACATGACTTTGGAGGAAGTAATCAAGTTCACGTATTGGTGGTGTCGTGATGTAAATCAAGAGCAAATCCGTCACGAGTTAAACGTTGCGACAAATACAGCAGTCGACTGGGACAGTTTCTGCCGCGAGACATATGAAGTGACACTATTAGAGCGGGAGGAAAAGATTGGCGGGCCTGGTAAAATTGTGCAAATAGATGAAAGTAAGTTCGGAAAAAGAAAGTACCATAGGGGACACCATGTTGAGGGACAGTGGGTTTTTGGCGGAATTGAGGAGGACTCGCGACGTAGTTTTATGGCAGCAGTAGACAAACGAGATGAAGCAACGCTACTTCCGTTAATCGAAAGATATATAGAAAAGGGGACAATTATCGTTTCAGACTGCTGGAAAGCCTACGTAAATTTAGAGAAGCACGGCCATAAGCATCGACTAGTGAATCACTCAAAGGAATTTGTGAACAGTGAAGGGTTTCACACAAATAAAATCGAGGGGCACTGGCGGCAAGCCAAGTGTAAACTGCCATGTTTCGGTGTGAGAAAGATAGCGTTCTCCTCGCACTTGGCCGAATTTCTGTGGCGATATGAAAACAAGAGCGAAGATCTATTTTCAACGTTTCTTAATGATGTTAAAAAAATCTACGGACAATTGTAACACCACCACTACCTGGGATAATGTAATGTAGTCTGAATATTTAGGTAAATATTATAATATAGTGTTGTTTTTGTTAGCTTTCTTAAATGTCAATTTTTATAATAAATTAAAGTTTAATTACATGATGAATATAAAGCTACTTGTGATTTTTTTTATCTGTTTCGTTTATATTATAGTTAGTTATTTTTGCGGCTGTTTGATAATCTCGAATATAATCCGTTTACGAGACGTCGCGCGTGTAATTTACAGTCGGCGACTGCGTATCCGCGTAGCCACGTAAAATATGGCTACGCAGTGACAGAAGTCTAGTGGACGGGTATTGTGCAATCTAGCCGAATTGTCTTCCTGTTCAACGTTAAAATTATTAGCGCTTATATCGCCTGGGTCCTGGAAGGCATTGACGTCCTTGTTTACATTCTTGGCCACAATGTTGTGTTTGCGAATAAGATGATTTCTGAAGGACACAAAAACCTTGAATGTTTTCGCGCAACCCGCTATACCGCAAAGGACATGAAAATTCGGTTCATTTCGATGAATCCTTTTAATATGGTTCAATAATCTTTGCATGGATTCGGCAACAAATTCGAGACAAATACTGCAACGATAACAATCCATTTGACCTTATTTTACCATGGTTATCAAGCTAGTACACTGAAATGAGCCTATAGTGTCTATAGCTCAGTGGCTCTGAGTGAAGTGTCCCGGGTTCCGGGACCCCACGCGCTGCAAACACCGAAAGCACTATATATGGTAAAGGGTACCATATTTGGAATATTATTCGGTCAAAATCTGTCAAATTTTTGCGCGGTGAATTCAAAAATTCTTTCCCACTGTGGCATTGTCGGATGACAACACAAATTCTGGATCGTTTTCATACGCTTTAAATTCTTGATTCTCAAGTACGTGTAAAGTTTGCATTCTTACGAAGTGAAAAAGGAATATATTTGGTGATTAAACTGGTATGTTGAACACGAGTTTTAATATCGCAATTATAGAATAAATAATGCTCGAAGTATCAACAGTTAATAAATTGATTTGTCTTCTTTTTAGACCATGGATATATCTCTACTCGAGGCCTTAACGAAAGCGGGTGTTAATAAAGGTTCTATTTCTATACTGGAGGACGACGAGGTACCTTTTGTGCGCTATAGCTATATTTTTATTCATTTTGTTGAATACTATTAGAGTAGAATTTGTTTACGTGCCACGTGCCTTGAAACGCGCTTCAGCGCAAGTCGTTGTATTATTATCTCGTTTGGCAAACTTGTTGTAGTATATGTTTTAAACTACATAATTATCAGCCGGAATAATCTATAATTATTTACTTTTTGAAACAGTTTGACACGGCTGACATATTACGAAACACTTCGGAACAACTTCTGAAAGCCTGCGGAATAAAAGGCGGCCAAGTTGTTCGTATCAAAAATGCCTTGGAAACCCTATCTCAAAAAAATGATGCAGATAAAGACGCTGTGGTAATAAAGGTTTAACACTCTGCCTATATTAGCTTTGCCAGATTATTTTGCATATATAAACTTATAAGAGAGAGTTTCCAGTTAGATACTATAGTTAAATTGTTTTGTTTAACAAATCTATTTGCTTATCAAAAGTATTTAAATTAATATAGACTTTAACAAATGAACCCAAGACACCCGCAGTGTGTACACTCAACACCCCTATAGTGTCAACACCCAAGACACCTACATTGTCAACACCCAACACCCCTATAGTGTCAACACCCAAGACACCTACATTGTCAACACCCAAGACACCTACATTGTCAACACCCAAGACACCTGCATTGTCAACACCCAAGACACCTACACCCAGGATGCCTTCAATGGGACCTTATGCCTCTACACCTAAAGCACCACCACTGATCAGTATCGATGAAGAATTTGAAGAATTAAATTGCTTAGAATCATTGCCAAAAAAAACTAGTACCGGTACTGGTTGCACCTTGATTTCATCTGGCTTTGCAATTACAGAGACCCGAATTATCCACAAGCTTTGGGTAAAAGACTTCAAGCTTCCTGATACTGTAAGTTTCACTTTTTATGTTATCACATAAAATTCATGGTATATAATATACCATGGTTTTTTGCTGACCTGAGAAACAATAAAAGAAGCAGATGATGCAGAGTTGATTGTGAATCTATTGTAGTGGGAACCAATACATAAGCTAGTTTTTTCATATATAAAATTGAACTTGAATTCTCACCTTTGTTCAATTCTCTTTTTCTTGCAGTACTCTCCAAAGGTAAATGAGGCACTTAAAGCTGGAAAGTTATTTGGAAAGCTAAGAAGTGAGTTTACCAGAGACATTTGTAACTCAATGAAAATCCATATGCTATTCCCAACTCGAGAAGAAAAACAGCGTGTGGCATCAATGATCATCGAAAAATACCCATTTCTAGTTGACTCACTTGGAGCTGGAACTGTAAGTGGCACTATATTATATAGAGTCAAATACACATTGAAAAAAATTTGCAGTGAATATTCTCTAATGGATAAAATTTTCTAGTTCATAAGAAAGAGTATCTAATACCTAAACATCTCATTTTTTTGTTTCTGACCTCTATCCATAGGGCTCGTGGTTTATGGCCATATCCAATCGCTTTAAAAACATGCGAAGAAGCAACAAGGGAATTGTGCCAAAAACCTGTCATATATCAAGTGAAAAAAAGAAAGAAAATGAAAAGGCAGAACCAAAGAAGAAGAAGATGAAAACTGATGTACCTCCTATGGTAGATGGAGAGACCCCTGAAACCTGCGAGGAACACAAAAAAGTATTAGCTGTGGAAATGACAAAGAGTAAGAAGAACTTCAATCTCATAAAAGAATTGATGGAGTTGACATACCCATACCGCCGTCAGCAATTTTTACTGGAACCAAAGAAATTGGAAGATGTTCTTGTTGAATATCCTGCAATACAGCTTGTTTCTGAGGTAAGATCATGGTTTATGTATAGCTATGCCATGTCAAATTATTTAATGAGCAATACGGTACACATGGTTTATGTACTATTTTGTTAGCACATTTGCTATGATATATTGTTTGATAGTCATTGTATAGGCATTACATTAAATTCTTATATTAGACTGTTGGAAAATGATTTAATTTGAAATGTCATTGATTTTGCTTTATTGAAGGCAGACCTGTCAACATTTGTGTACAAGTACATAGATGTATCAATTGTTTGTGGTTTTTTATAAATAGTTTTCTGTAAATTGTTAAAGATGATGTAAAGTCCGTTCTGAGCATATATTCTGCGCATAACAATGTTTGTTTACGTTGGTTATATAATCTTTACATGACGTATGCGTCGTTATAATTTTATTATTTTCTTCTCGCTCGACGGGCTGTGATCTGTGATGAATATGCTTATTTTTTATTATATTTTGAAGAAAATATTGTTATATTTTGAAGAAAATATAAAGCGAAGCTTGTAAATAAACAGGCCGTTATTTAAAACGTTATATATTTGTAATTGTAGGACAAGCGAGAAGGTGGCGTCTGTAGCGACAACAAATAGACTCGCCATTTCGGGCCTTATTCAACAAATAAATGCTTGGAGCATTCCTTTCAGCATAATATTGCTTTTTTCTAGCAGCTTTATGATAAGATAAGTTATCGTCGTGACTCGAAATTCGAGCCTCTTCGCCTTGCGACATAAAATAAAATAATTTTGCTCCCGAACTGCCGTTTGTAATACAACGCGTTAATATCGCATATCATTAACATTCCAAAAGTTGCTCCCCCACTGATGGAATGTGTTGATGCGCGGAATATATGCGCAGAACGGACTTTACCTCATCTTTAAGTTTGTTTTCCAAAAATTTGTTACAGGCCAAGGCAGAGTTTGGTAGAATCCTATGTGACCCAAAAGCTCTTGTCAATATGGCTGACAACTACAGCAAAGCTGAAAGCAAAGTGTTGGGGTGGGCAGAGAGAATTGCAAGCAAGAGTATCAAGCAACTCGTTTCTGCGATGAAAGCTATGCTGTTGGAGGATCCAAACAGAAGAGAAGGTATATATATATATATATATATATATATATATATATATATATATATATATATATATATATCAAATTAATATTTGGTACCCAGTGCTAAGAATTTTTGTCGTATTTAGCAATGTAGCAATTGTAATATAGTCAACAATCATGTACTTTTTTTCAGATATTGAAAGCACTGTTGTAGCTTTAATTCTTCAGTCGCAATTAAAAGAAAAATCATGTGGTTCAAGAAATTTATTTTTCATGATTTGCAGTGTAAGTATATTAATTAAGGAACCTCAATACATACTGCATGATAACCTAAGCATTTCCTGGACAAAAAGAGGATCATTTATGACCTTAAATGGGCCTCTTTATGGAAGGCAAATCCACAATTGTTGAAATTAAACTTAAGTCAACGTTAATTTTTTAGGATGATGACTCTATCGATGAAGAAGTTGCTAAGACGACTTATCCAAGGGTTGTTGCATCTGGGGACCTGGGCAGTTTGAACCCAATATATATTGCAGTAGAGGGGCAAATCTACTTGGACCTTTCAGGAAAGAGAATCCCGGTATGCATGGTAGTGGCATTGGTGATGAACTCTTTTTATATTCTTGACATGGAATACACTCCAGAGGTCTCAAATGTTTATGCTTTCCTGGAAGCCACACTTATGGGCAAGCATGGTGATGCGAAAAAACGCATATCTGTTCAAAAATTTATTAAAGAGCTTGGACTCAACCTAGGTTAATGAACTCATTTGGGAGGGGGTGTATAAATATAGTGTTGTGTGTAATATATTTAGTTAAGTGAAATAAATTAAAGAATATCATTAACAATATTCCTGTTTGTTTGTTTGTACTATTTCTAGCATTTGAGTGCATGCAATCATTCTACATAAGAGGGCATTATAGACTAATATAACAAAGTTGGGTGTTTTTTCTAGATGGTAGTTTACTGCTAAAATAATGCTTGGTAACTAGTTAGAAGGTGCTAAATCAAATCTAAAAACAGGTGTTGTTTTAATGCTGCTGGTAGTGTTGAATTAACTCTGAAAAAGAGTGCTAATTAGGCTCTAGGTAGGTGCTGTTTTAGTATCAAATCTGGGGTTAAAATAACTCTAAAAGCAGTGCTAATTTAGCCCTAAGAAAGTGCTGTTTCAGCACCAAATCTATTGGTGTCAAATCAGCACCCAAAAATGGTGCTATATTCTACCTAATTTTTCAGCACCACTTTCTGGTGTCAAATTAACACCTCAAAATTAACAATGCAGCACTTTCCATCATGCATGGCAAAGGTCATGTTTGGTCATGTCAGGTACTGTAAAATGCCAGACAAATTCCGGAATAAATTAAGGTGATATTGCTATGTTCACCCATCACTGACATTGTGCTGATATTGCCGATTTTGACACCCGCGAGTGGTGTAAAGGGTAAAAGGTGCAGAGTACGATATGCTTTTAAAAGACGTCTAGTTATAATTTATGTTTTCCATGTTAATAGATGACATGAGGTGGACGTTGGCAGGAAGGAAGTGCTTATACTACTGGAGGAGAAGTTGAACAAATTAATGGGTACATTTCACGTCTGGGTTCAACTACTAAATACATGAACGCAGCAGGTACAGGCTCACATAAATGTAACTGCTAAAGCATGTTTAGTAATATTCATGATCGAACCGTTAGTACAACAGTCCTGTGGTATGAATGGTTCTTATTTCTAGCCCTCTCTTGGTTCTAAAAAGGGATCCCAGAAAGTGCTAAAACTAGGAAAAATTTGCATAAGCGCAATAGCATTCTATTTAACCAATTATGTTATTATAATGCAGACTGTTAGTATTTGCTCATGAATGCATAACATAATGATTAACAGGTCGTGAGGAAACACTAACGGAGCATTGTGCTGCATTGGAATAAACAAGAGGTGTTGAAGCTGGCAAGGAGTTTGTCCAAAAAAATTGTTAATGTAGGTCTAATGTAAATGCCATATTTTGTAGAAAACACGGTAAACACCGCGTTTATCTATTACACAAAGCTTTAAAATCTGTATGTATGTATACATCCTCATTAGTTTTCACAGATAAAAATCCGTACATACAGTAGAGGAGTCAGTTGCTTATGTATTTATGCACGTCTGTTTATTTCAAAATTTCACAGAACAAAACTCCTATCCATTCAGACCATTCTGCAGGAATATTTCCAAATTTATAAACAACCTGTTGGGAAGTTTGCTTTGAATTTTAGGTTAACCTAAGGTTAAGCTAATCAAGCTTTGAACAACTGGCCTCAGGTCAATAACATTTGAAAATAGGTAAACATAGTGTTTACCACAAAACAAAATATTGTGTGTACCCTTATATGTCTACAGTATTTAGTGTTGTCATTTCACTGCAATTACTATAATATGTAGTAAACCAGCTTTCTTACATTTTATAGGTTCAGAAATTGATTAACCTAAATGAACAGGAGTTGAAGAAGGAGATGGAGAAGAAATGAAGTGTGGGGATAAATTAGAAAGTGTGGTACTGGAAGAGTGGAGAAATGACATTGCTGCATGTGGAAGACGTATGTTTTATAATTATGAGATAATGTCCGTGTTTGATGAACTGCAGCGACGTTTTATTAAGTTGAAAATTGCGAAAGCATAGCGCTCAAAGAACGCACTTCACGTTTATATTGCTGTAATTCAAAACGCCTTATAGGTCCCTACCAGTGGAATTAGGTCTAATTGGGTAAAAACCCAAAATACTAAGAAGTATTTTATTACAGTACTTAATAACTGCTAGTGCTGGGATTTTTAGGTTAATATATATACAGTAATCGAAAATTATTTCACAGGTAACCAATTTAAAAAGGACGACAGCGCGAAATTTCAAAAGGATCTAATGGTGTATTACCAGCTCAGCATGGAAATTATTGAGGCAAAGTCTTTAAAACCTTTTGTTGAGAAAACTCGTGATGGCGTAGGTGCTGCATTAGTAACCGGTAATAGCGATATGTTCAAAGAAGCATTGGATAAACAAGAAGCTATCGAAGATAAGGAAAACCGTATTAACAAAATAGAGTTGGGTTGGGGGATTCTTGGCATGGAATATGTCGAAAAGAGGACAAAGGCGTTGGAAGAAGGAAAGAGGCTTCTGGCGTCTGAAAAAAGACAAACGATTCGAGTAGAAATAGAGATGCTCAGTTTTTCTATTTCACAAAGGGCAAAGAATATAAGTCGTTTAGCAGGTATTTCGGCTGGATTTTACATCTACTGAGTGTGCATAATTTCCATGATGCTAATTTTATGTGAGAGAGATCTGAAAAGCAGCGCGGACAAATATTTGGAATAGCAGTCGAAAAACCTTAAAACGGTTTACGGTCACTCTATGATAAAATGTCACACAAACGTGTTTGTACAGTATATATATGTTTACTGTATTTTTGCAAGCGTCCTACATAGGAAAGTACTTTCTAAGATGGATCTGGTGATGTTTATAGGTAAATATTTTAAATCTATATTTTATATTGCAATATATCACATATTCATCCAAGCAAAGGTCTAGGCTTCGCAGTAAGAACGCCAATGAAGAGGACGACGGAGGTAATATTTAACAAATATATTAAATTTTCCGTGTTGATATATACAGTAATATCAACACGAGTGGATTTGGGAAAACGAGAAATGTTATGAAAATACAATTTCGAGTCTTCCTGACTTCCACGAGTGTTGATATAACTGTATATTAATACAAAAAAATGTTTTATATTTTTCGATAATATATAGCAAAGTCAAAAGCCCGAAGGATATGAAAAATGTGACATCGAGTTATATCAACACGGCTCTTAGCCAATCAGCGTTCAGAATTTTTAATTTCTTTCTTTTTTAGCCGTATTGCCATTGCAAGCGAGGCGAAAGGCAGTTGAAATCTACCTCACTGGCAAGAGATTAGAAGAAGAATTGTCACTTCTTAAGAAAGAAATGGTCCAGTTTCTCTGCTATTATAAAGACAGTGTAATCACAGATCTTTCAACTTGTATAAATTCCCTAAATAAAGGTAAAGAATAGAGTTTCATATAGGCATATAATGATGTCATACTCTGTTAAGATTCAGACTTTGTTAAAACATAAAAAAGACCAACTAAATTGTGTTACCAATGACAACAAACATATTTCTGAACTATAATTCAATATTTAAATATAGATGACTTGCCAGATGATGATGTTGTACCATGCAATACTGATGATGTTGGAAAGGTATTACACAGTCAGCTATTTACGTTGATTTCAATTTTCCAGACTGATCTTCAATTCAATTGAGCATTTACGCATAACAACATTTTCTGCATTCTGTATGGAAAAAATACAATTGGCGAGGAATACATCAACCAGAAATAGGCTCGACTGTTAAATTGCAATGTACAATTGCTGTACGTACAGTAATTTTATATTGCTTCATAACTTACAGCCCTATAGTATTCTGTTAGAGCTTTGTCAACAAGACATGGTTTGGAAACTCGGCCAAAGTCTTTATCTTATTTTTTTACACTTTCCAAATGATATTTTATTGGCAAACATGAAGACAGTATTCTTTTGTTATAATGAAACCATTATCTGTCAAAGGCACTGTCGAAATATTGATAAGTAAAATTTGAAAAGATTTAAAACCGTAGATCATTATAAGCTTGCCTAGCTTCCAGACCATAACGTCCCGATTCAGTGTTGTTAACGTGCATCTTCATATGCTGTATATTTATATAGGGAAAGTATTTCTAGACATCTAAGCCGCTTTTCAGTAGAGGGTGAGAACGCTGTTTTAAAGTCTCGTATATTCTTTTGCAAAAAGATGATAAATGAAGGGGTCACTTTATTTAAGAGCGTTCTTGACGGATCCTTTCCTAATCTGAATATTGACGATAGTGAAGATGAGGATGGCGATGAAAAAATAGAAGATGATACTGATGTTAGTGATGTAGAAATGGAAGAGGCCGTCGAGTGATGCTAACATACACGCAAAAATTATTAATTCGAAATCCAGCGACAGTGAGTGGGTGGCAGCCCATGATACCCCTACCACTGAGCAAAATATACGAGTTATTCTCGGGGGACTGGAAGCCTGGGTTAACTTTACTTTGCGTTATTTTTAGCTACTGTACAGTAGTTTGTGAGCAACATGTTACTACAATATTTCTATAGACTTTTTTGTGTTATTAATGACCAAGAATAATTAAGGATTAACATTTTTTTATTAACAACAGTTTTTAATAAAAAATGTTAAGCCTTATTCTTGGTCATTAATAACACAGGAAAGTCTATTAATATAATGAGCCTAAGAGAAAGTTCAATACCAATGTTTATTTTATATTTTGATATAGGTAATTGGAACCATATTGTAGTTCTTATATAGTTATAGGTTAATTTGTAACAGTTGTCTGAATTAAACCAGCTAGAGAAAAAGGTTAGGTTTTTGTTGGCAAAAGGGGGAACATCGTGAGTAATTTGTTGAGAAGTAAATTTTAATCTTAATTTAAACAGATTTCTTTTAGATTTTCTAATTTTTATTTCTTGAAGTTTTGTTCTTACCCAACATTAATTCAAAGCAATTACAGCTGTCAAATTACTATAGTACGTTATAGCAAATTTGAATCTTTCGGCTAAAGGCCCTGTCACACTGTTGCGTATGATAGGAACGTATGAGTCGCGTATAAAGATCATTTCATTCTTTTTTATACGCACGAAAAAGTCCGTAAAAATAGACATTTTGCATAAA